ATTCAATATTAAAAAAATATTCAAAAAATAAAAAATAAAACAAACAGCTAACCAAGGATCTTGTAAAGCTTCCTCTGCAGTTAATCTTAATGAAGGTTCAAGTACTAACAAATTACTAATAAATTGGATTGCTTCATTTGATACTTCAGACCAATACTCTTCTTGAAAATCATAATCAGCTGCACATACAGCACTTAATATTTCACCTAATGTATCACCAAAAAATGGAGGATAACCACATAATAAAACATATGTAATAACACCAATTGACCACATATCAACTTCCATTCCATATCCTTTTGCATTTAATACTTCTGGAGCAACATAAACAGGTGTGCCACAAGCAGTTAATAATATTTGTGCATCTTCAGTAATCATTTTAGAAAATCCAAAATCAGCAATACGAACATCTGTATCATCATCAGGACTTTTTAATAAAATGTTTTCTGGTTTTAAATCTCTATGAACAATGTTCATTGAATGTAAATATCCAATAGCAGAAATTAATCGTTTAACAACAATTTTTGCTTTATCTTCCGGATAAAATGTTTTATCACTAATTCTATCAAATAACTCACCTCCTTTAACTAGATCAGTTATAATATATAATTTGCCATCATTCCCATCAAATACATCATATAATTTAATTATATATGGATGGTCTACCATTTTTAATATTTTAATTTCACCTTGAAGCTTTTGTGGATCTGATTTAGCTGTATCTATCACTTTTACTGCAACTTCTTCATTTGTTGATTTTTTAATTGCTTCATAAACTACTGAAAATGCACCTTTTCCAATTTCTTTTTTAAGAAGATAATCTCCAACTTCCTTTGACATACCAACTGAACTTTGTAGTTCTTTTTTGAATTCTTTCTTTGAAGGAACTTATTATTAGAGATTTTATAACAATTTTTATTCTTTTTTTGTTGTTTATTTAAAATTTTTTTTTATTTATGGAATTATTTACTTTATGTAAATAATAAATTATCCTAAGTCCAATGTAGTTTATATCTATGAAAGTTTTTTTATCACTTTTACTTTTGTTTAAAGTCATTTACATTAGTAAAGGAAATCAATAAATTCTAAGAAATGATTTTTTCTTTTATATAGTTCAAATAAAACTATTTTTAAAATTTGTCAATATCCTAGTTATTAAGTGTACATCTTAAAATGAAGTATTGAATAAAATGATCAATACTGAAACAAAGAATGAATAAATAAAATAAATATTGAGACAATATCACTCTGATGTTATTATATAAATATTAAATAATTTCCACAAGAAATAATCATTCAAAAAATTAATAATACAAAAATAAAAAATAAACTATTTAATATAGTTTATATAAATAGATAATATAAAGAAATAGATTTTAAAAAAAGTATATTTTATAGTGAAAATTCCAATAGTTATATAATATGATTTTGAAAATTAAAGTTTTAATTATTTTTAACAAATTCACATTTAAAAATAAATTATTATTAAAAAGATATTTTTTGTTATTGTAAATTATTTTTAATAAACCAATAATTCAAAATGAACTTAAAACCTTATGTTAAACAACAATTTATAGATATAAAAGTATACCAATCAATTAGAGAAAATCAAGAATTTTTATAGAATTTTTTATATCCACACTTTAGATACAATTATGTCTAAGTTAAATAAAATTAAATTGTATAGTAACATAAATTCATAAAAATTTATTATATTTAAATAATATAATATACAAATTAACTATCATTTTAATATAAAAAAATACACTTTCTATTAAAATTTCTTTATATCTTTGATAGTCACGTATTTTTTCATCTTTAAATTTTATTATTATTGTTATTTAAATTGATTTAATCATTTTGAGTTTAGTGATTGTTATTTAATTTAACTGTTTATGTAATCCCTTTAATAATTTATTCTTTTTAAAAAATTATTTTTTATTAAATTTCAAATAATTATTGTTTAAGTTTATTATAACAATAGTAACTAATTACATTTGTTTTTTTTATTTTAGCCTTTCGTCATTGTATTTAATACTTATCATCATTACAATGAAATACTTTTTTATTTGTCTTTTTTAATAAATCAATTTGGTACTTTCATATTTATTTCTCAATGCAAATTGAGCTAAAGTTAAAGTCATATAATTAAGATTAAGTATTACAGTGCTCTGTAATTAAGACAGAAAAACAGGTTAATCCAGAATGACCAAGCAATATAACTTACTTTCTACTTTTTTTAATTTTATGTAACTTTTGAAAAAATGAATGAGTTGTATCTAACTATTTCATTTTAAGAAGTTGAAAATAGTAGATATTAGTTCTATGTTAAGTTTGAAATATATTTTAAACGAAAAATAAACTTATTTCCAAATCATTTTTGTAGAAACTAGATACTTAATGTTTTTATTTTTCTTTCATGAAGATTTTAGAAAAAATATATTATTCTTTTTTGGTTCTGAATCCATCTTATAACAAACCATTAATAGACAAAACAAACCTTAATGGAAATGAACTCTCTCTATACATGTTTTAGAAGCATGAATAATAGAACTTTTCAGTCAGTTACACAAATAACACTGCTTCCAAGATTAAACATTCAATTAGAAGGAAAGTGTCATTTTACATAACAGTATAATAACAAACCTAAGATAAGTAAAAGATAAAAAGAATACAAAAACAGAGAAAAACAGTTAAATGAATGAATAAAGTATTATACTTAAAATACTAAAAAGTTTAGTAAAAGAATCTTAAATAGTGTTTAGCTTTTTATAATATAAATAAATATATAGAGAAAAGAAGTTATTTTCTAAGATAGATATTTAATACGGAAGTAGATGTAAAAGTTTAAAGTAAAAATGAAAAAGAAAAATTAGTCTTGTTTTTATAAAAGGTTTGACACTCTTTTTAATTAACCGCTCGTATATAGTAAATACAATAACTTAAAAGAATTATTGAGTGAGTAATACTTCATTACTATGACTTTCATTAATCTACATTGCAATGCGATAATTTTTTTCATAAGTAATGTTAGATTATAGAAAGAAGAAAGGAAACAACAAAAAAGAGGAAATATTAAAAAGTTATATTTTATTAAAGAAATTTTTTGTAGCTATTTTTATAACATTTGAGAGTATTTTTATTCTTAAAAACATGTCTTAAATAAGAAGATAGATAAAGAAAGAAGGAATCAATTATGAATTACCTGTATTTAGGTTTTCATCATGTTGAGAAGTGAGCAAAAACCAGTTTCTTCAACATGCTTTATTTCATATGAAATAATGTTTTTTTCAAACACGCTCGACTTAAATGGTTCCTCATTTAAGTTGCTGCCTGATTCATACCTTGAATTAGATGAGTATTAAAAAACTCTTCATTGTTTATGTGTTATTATTAGAAGAATATATCCATAATCACTATGAGACTATGGCCTATCTTCTTTATCATCGACACCAATTAAAGAATCCCTTTTTCTTGATAACACACCATGTATTCAGCCCAAATCTATCGTTGATAAATATGTTGCGTCCTAATTCATAATAATACTACCACCATAATAGTTTAATAGTCTCATATCAAAATAAATAATAATCCTTAATAAATAATAATCCTTAATAAATAATAATCCTTAATAAATAATAATAAATAATAATAAATAATAATAAATAATAATAAATAATAATAAATAATAATCTTTATAAATAATGTCTCCATAATAATCAGTCATAATAAAAAAAATAACCATCTAGTATTGGGTGGTGCATTACCTCACCAAGGCACGTCATAACCAGTCCATAACTGGGGGAATCGAAGGATGGAAATATTTTAGGGTTTTGTGTGGTGTCTCTGACGTGCTACCTTCGAATTCCTAAGAAGATAGATAAAGAAATATAAAAAGAAAAGGAAAAGGGACTTTTATTTCGACCTCAAAGGAAAATAAAAAAATCAGGTTATCTAAAAATAGACATTGAATTTAAGAAAAAAAAAAGAAAAGAGAAAAAATGGATTTAGATAATAACATTATTCAAATCATTAATTTATAATTAGTTTAGAACAAAAGAAACACATTTTTGCGAATAACTATTTTAAGTTTCAAATAATATAAAAATTAGAATAACTAAAATTGCATGTCAAAACTTATTAAAAGAATTGGACACTTTAATTATATGGCAGATGATCCAGCAATTGATAAACAATCATCTAGATATAAATTTACTAAATGGAGAAATTATCAAGCATTACAAGAAGCATTTTTTATTGGACTATTAAATCAATTTGCAACAATTACTATCTGTAAACCTTCTAAGAAAACAACTGTAACAATTCAATTTATTACAATAAAAAGTATTCAATTAGAAAGACAATATGAAGAAGTTCCTTTTTCATCATTTATTACAGACCGCTGTAGAAAAAGAAAAAGTAATGATATAGAACAAGGTATTCCAGAAAAAACTGCACAAAGAAGATTTGAAAATAATAAGTTTTCAGAAGCATTACATTTCCTTGTAGATATTCTAAGTGAATTTGGATATTTTTTTCAAGTATCTAGAACTATTGGAAAAAATGGAACACCAACAGTTGAAACAGTTCATTCAGTATATTATAATAATAAAATGAAATATAGTAAAAAAGATATTGAAAAAAAAGGAAAAGCAGTAAATGATTATCTTTGTCACTCATTTAAAGATAATTCACAAATAAAAATAAAAATTCATGATGAAAAAATCAATCACATCTTTTGTTAAATAATTTAATCTTTGTGAAAAAATATACATTATAATTTAAATATTTATCATTTATTAATGGTTTAAAGATGTTATTTTTAAATAACATTAAATTAAATTACAAAAAAATTGATAAATATTTTAAATTAATAAATATTAAAAATTTGAAATTAGATTTGAAATTGAGGTTTAATTTGTTATTAAAGAACTTAATTAACTCTTCTTTTTCAAATTTCAAAAAAATAATTTGCTTATGAAAAAATACTTTAAAAACTGGTTATTTTTTGTATAAAAAATATTGAATAAATCGGGAATAATAAGTAAATTTAATTCAATTAAAATAAAATGGGAAAAAAAGATTAATGATGGAAAACAAAATTACTTTGTTCAATAAAATTATCTAAACAAACTCTTAATACTAGTTATTCTTAATGTCTAAAGAACAAAGTATTACCTCAAGTAAAATTGAGTGTAAATGTTATTTATGTCTTAATAAAGAAAAGGTTATTGGAAAGAAAAGGGTTGCATGGACAATAATTTGTAAGTATATTCTAAAAGCATTAGCAAATATAAATGAAAAACAATATTATTCAGCCCATGATGATATTTATCCATTTGTAGTAGAACATTGGAATATTTTAGGTGAATTAGCACAGTGTTTGTTTTATATTATTTACAATGAAATTTAAATTTTTAGAATAAAAAGAAGTAAATGTTTTTAAATTCAAAAATAATCAATTTATCTAGTTAAAAATGGAAAATCATGGAAAAAAGCATTATTAGATGCTATGAACCATAGTGGTCAATTTGAAAGTGGACCATCAAAAAAACGCATTGGATTATGGAAATTAAAATCCTGTTTTGAAAATATAGACAACAAAAAAAATTCAAACAAAGAAAAAAAACCAAAGAAAAACCTATTACAATATTCTTCTAGAAGAAAAGAATTATCTGAAAAATGTTTAAAAAATGATGAAATATTACTTTATGATACTCCTTTAGAAACTTTTCAATGTATTAATCAAACAATCAATTTAAATGATGAAATTATGTATCCTCAAATTATAACTCCTTTAGATATTTCTGTTTCTAGTCAATCTAAAATACTTTATTCAAATATGTCTACATTACCTGCTTCATTAATGAATGTTTTACAACCATTATATCATCAATTATATCATTCAGTTTATAAATCTATTAAATTATTAAATAAAAGAAGGAAACAAATGAAACTTCAGTTTAACTCTTCTCAGAGAATATTATCTTTAATTGCTCGTTTACAATTTGATATGATGGAAGAAGAAACATATCCATCTTCATTTATATTACTAAAAGTATTATAAATCTATTTCTTTTTAATTGGTGCATTATAAAAATTAACAACAATAACTAATTCTAACATAATTCATATGTATTAATTTAATTCATTTGCCTTTTTCTTTTTTTGTTTCATGAAAACTTCCAAGAACTAAACAAAGAATTAATGGAAATGTCATACTTAACATCATTGGTATTATTGCATGACAACAATAAGCAACATATGCTCCGACCATTCCACAGATAATAGTTATTTCATTTTCTTCAATATTAGACATAATTTTTGTTAGTCCAAATTTTTTCGTTAATAATACTTTATATATAATAAATGGTAGTGGCGTTATGGAAACAACCCATACAAATGGATAATAAACAAACCTATTTCATTACTTCTTTTAAATATCTTTTAATTTATTAATGTAATAACAAACATTAATAAAATAAATGAAAAACAAATACTTGTAAATATCAATGTTTGATATTTAATAACAAATTGATTTATTCTAGTTAATGCCTGATTAATATTATCTGGTTGACTAAATTCAGCCGAACTAAGAATATTACATTCATCAATTAATTTTTCCATTTTATTGTGTTATTTTTTAAGTTTTATTTTTTTATTTTTTTTTTTTAATTAATTCATTAATTCTTATTAAAATAAAACCATTTTAAATAACAAATATTAATTTATTCAATTATTTGCTTGTGTATCTATTATCATTTCTTCTTGAACTTGATCTTCTATTTGAACAAATCCATTTTCATTTATATTCTCATTTAAAGGTTGTTGTTGAGATAAAACTTTGTTTTGGTTAAACCATTGAATATAATTAATAACACATAACAACAATAGTTGAAGATATGTTAATGGTGAAAAGAAGAAGATTGAGATAGAAATAGTAAAAGAATAAAAGACACTAGTTCCTATAAAGAAACACCATAATGTATCTATTCCTAATTTAGCACGATGAAAGTTTAATCTATTTGAATGACAAACTGTCCACAAAAAGGTCCAAAGAATAATAATTACAATAAAGTGAAGAGCATATCCATGAGTAAGAAAATGTGATCCATATACCCCAATTTTAGCAAAACCTACACCACAATATATTAATATCTTTGTACCTGATATTTCAAATGAATTATATCCAATAATAATTGGTATAAAATAAAAAATAATTGAAACTAATAAACATAAAAGTAACGTAGAACGTGAAGCATAACTATAATGTTCAAATAATGTAATTTTTTTCATTAATATAAGTTTTTGTGTTAACAATCCTCCAATAATTCTAATTGAAAATAAACAAAAAGAAAGAGCAGAAAGAGCAATTGCTACACCTCTCATTTTTAAATTAAGAACACTTCCATTTAAATGAAGATATTGTTTACCAAATTTAAATTCTTTTACTATTTGATTTGTAGAGAATGAAACAGTAACAGAAATACTTTCATTTAATAAAATAGGTGATGTCCATAACTTCTGATCTTTTGAAGACAAAACAATTTTCTGAAGAGATTCTTTACCATACACTTCAACTTTATCTACTTTCCAACCAATAAATATTTCTGTTTGATTACATTGTTGAACGTTTTCACCTGGACACAATGGAATAATGGGAAGTTCCCCAATAATAAAATCACCAAAATAAGCAACGTTATTTTTTAGTACAATAATACGATATTTTCCATATTGTAATGTTACTAATTCTGCTTCAAAATAATGGTGATGGTATGCTGCCATTTCATCCATATGATAATGTCCACAAATATGTAAAGATATAGGATTCTTTTTACCAAAATGTTCCTCAATTTTCTCTCCAAGATATTTTTTATCATCAGAAATAATCCCCATTGATGGATGATGAGTAGCAACTATTTTGTACGTTTCATTTCCTTCTAGAAATGATATAATTTTATTAATACTTTGTTCAGATAAATACCCTTCTGTTTCCATTGATATCATTGCATTTAAATAATTATCACAACCAATAATTAATGCTGAAGTATTACCTTTTCTAAGTTTTAATGTACTGATATCCATTGCATTCATACGACTAAAAAGATAAGAATCAACAAGCATATGCTCATTCTTTCTCCCATAAACTCCATCAACGTCATGATTTCCTCTTAAATCAAACCAAGGCACTGAGAATTTGTTAAAACATTCATTTACAGTATTGTTATATAAGTCATAATCCCCTTTATGTTTTTCAGGATAAAAGCCAATTCCATTTTTTCTTCCATGACAAATATCACCAGTTACAATAACTGTGTCAGGTTGAATTAATGGTAATTGGTCACAAAATTCTTTTAGGTTTGTTACTTGTGAAAGATCTGTATACATATTAATATGAATATCACTAATTTGAAGGATTGTGAAATATTCTTCTGTAGGATTTATAATTCTTAGTGGTGCCTTTTTAGGTAAATTCACTATAATACAAATAAATATAAATGCAACATAAATCAGGAACGTTTGTGCAGTGCTAATGCATTGAATAAATTCTCTATTTTTCAGACAATTCAACCAAGTATTTACCATTGATTGAAACAAAAATAATGAGCTGAAATTTTTTGAAATTCATTTTGTTTTTTCCTAAAAACTAAAAATTGTTAAAATAAAAAAATATTTAATTAAATCTTTTTTCAAGATTTATATTTTGTTATTAATAACATAAAATAATACTTCTATTTATTTATAGAACTGACAAAAATAATAAAATACTAAATCCATTTTCTTTCTGTTGTTAAAAATTGTGCGTTAATTAAATTTTATAACGCCAATATAATTTTGAGTCTCTTTTTCCTTACAGAAAGCCAGTAATTATAAATATAAAAAATCTTTAAAGTAATTCGATAAGTTATTAGAAATAAATAGAGAATGTAGCAGTTATGTATTTTTGGTTTTATATATTGATTTAGTATGAAAGTCTTTTTAAGAGTTTTACCAAATAAGTAGAGGTTGTTAGAAATAGATATATATATATATATAGAATATCGACAAAGACTAAACCGAAATACTTGCAAAACAAAAAAAAAATAATAATGAATAAGAACACAAAGAAGTAAATGTACAAGAATTAAAGTCTAAAAATTTGAGATAATTCAGGATCATTACGAGAAAGAGTCATTTCTTTTCCCGCATGTTTCATTCTTTCATTCAAAAGAGTATTAATTTCTCGACCAACAGTCTCAAAATTTTTTTGGTTTATAATAATAAAAGATTCTTTTCTAACCTCTAAAATATTTTCCAATTTAATTGTGCCACTTTTACCTTCAGTAAGTTTAGTATTAAATTCAAAGCCTAATTCATTTAATAAATCCATCAAAAGATGAAGTCCATCCGTTTTTTTATTAGTTTGGTATCTTCTTTTTGCAGTTTTAAGAGCAACCCCATGAGAAATGTCATATCTAAAATGTTCATAACATCTTGTCTTAAGAAATTCTGCAAAAGAAACAACATTCTCATCACTGAAATTAACAGATTTAATTCTCATATATTGATGAGTTGTTATTGACTTCTTTGCAGGTTGTTTAAAAATAATATCAGCATAATAGTTTAAAGCACCAATGAGAACAGCTTGTTGAATAGTTTGAGAATTACGTATTTCTCTAGAAGTTTTATTTTTTTTAACTTGTTTAACAGAAGAAGAATTATCATATTCTGTTGAACTTGTAGTACAAACAATAGGGGTTAATTCATTTATTTTACGTTGGCATGTTGATTGCATTACTTGTTCTTTAATGAATGTTTTCATTATGAGTTACTGAATTAAATAGTTCATGTTATAACCACTTATTTAACTAAACGTCTAGTCATTTAATTTTCATCAGAAATTTGGTTTTATTCAAAAATAGAAAATTGTAAAAATAAATCTTTAATATCTTTTTCTTGATTTAAATTTTGTAAATTACGCTTCAAAAAAAATACAAGATGCCCCTCAACTTTTAGTAACTCTTAAAAATATTTGTATTCTTCTTATTAATTTCTATAAATATTTATTTTTCATTTAAAAAAAAAAAAAAGAATTCTTTTTTTTTTGTGAATAAATTTTTTTATTCGTTTTTTTGTAAATTACTCCTAAACTTTTTCTCACTAGATATTTTCAATTATCTTCCAACATATCTTTTGCGAGAATTATCTACACGATTCGAGTTTATTCTTGAAAAGATTAAACTAACAAATAAACTCTCTTTATAAAAATTACTGAAGAAAATTCAAAAATAAAACAATAGTTAATATAATAGAGAAAACTATTATTTACATCGGTAGAATCTAATTACAACAGAAAGGTCTTTAAACACAGGAAACTGAAATGAATAAAAAAGTAAAATATCAACAAAGACATATTCAAATTATGACCAAGTTTGAGAACAAAAATTTATTCTGTTAAAAACTGCTCAAGAAGAAAATCTAACAACTATAAACAACAAAAAAAAATAGAAGAAAAAAAGATAAAAAAAAAGAAGAAAGAAAAAAAAGGAGAGAGAGTAAAGAAAGGGGAAAAGAAGATAGGGAGAAGAAAATGAATAAGAAAATAAGAGAAGGAGGAATGAAAGAGATGAGAAAGAAGAAAAGAAATTGTAAAAGAAAAGAATGAGTAGTTTCAGAAGAAAAATAACAAATTAATAAAGGTAATATAAGAAATAAAATTAATAAATAAAATAAACAATAAAATAAGAAATGTATCTATAATTTTATTTTATGAAAATATATAATGATATTTAAGAATAATTTAAAGTTTTAATTCATAATATTTATGTTTTTATAATTATAAATAATAAAATCAATAAAATCAATAAAATTTTCACAATAAATATGAAATTAATAATAATAAGAAATATTAATATTTCATTATTTATTATTTTCAAATGAACAATAATAATAATTAATCTATAAAATAGAATACAATAAGTATATTTTCATGATAAATTAATAATTCATAAATTTAAAATATGATAATTTCATTTAAGATATATTTTTATTATTCTCGTTTTTGATTTCATCTTGTTCTTCTTTTATTTCAATTATCATAATTGTTTTAAACATTCTCTTTCATCAAACAAAAAAGAAAACATCAAAACGGAATAATGATATGAATAAATATGATAATAATAAACAATTAATAAAATAAGAATATAAACAACAAAGAAATAAATAAACAATAATTCATAATAAATTAACATAAATAATTTCATAAATAAACTGAATAAATAAGAATCCGAATAAAATAGAATAATTATAATAAACAATAAATATATTTCATATAAAATAAACAATAAAAATATAATCTTCTAATTTATTTACAACAAAATGGAAATAAATAATAATAAAAATAATAAATAAATATTGAATAATATAAAACAAACAACAAATAAATATAATAAAATAAATATAATATAATAAATAAAAGAAATAAAAAAAGAAATATAATAACAATAATTAACAATAATACATAAATATAAAAGAAATAAAATAATAAATTATGATTAAAATAAAAAATAAAATACATAAAAAATAAAATACATAATAAATATAATAATATGAATATAAATGATAATAACATAAACAAATAATAAATAATAAATAATCAACTAATCAACTAATCAAATACAAAATATGAATGATATAATAAAAAAGAAATAATAAAAATAATAAAAAGAAAACATATAAATAAATAATAAAGAATATAATAATCTATAATATTAATCAAATAAAAATATAACAAAGAAAATCATTTAATAATAAATAAACAATTTTCAAATAGAAAATATAAATAATAGAAAGATTAATATATAATC